GGCCGCTCCTTGACGAGCGCGTTTCCCCCCCCCCCCCCCCACGGTGTCTTCCTGCGGTGGCTCCGCTAATCTCATCCTTAAACTGCTTGACGCATGGCCCGCCGGTTGACCCCGTGACCCCCGAGGGGCGCCCCGGGCCCACGGCCCTTGCCGCGCTCCGCTGGCCCCGCTGGGCCCCTCTCCTCCGAACCCGGAGCGCCTTACAACGTGCCTACATTTTCGGCTCGTCTTGCCCAATGAATGGCCCATACTCCTGAAGGGCCCTTGTCGGCTCCCAGGGCCATTCGGGAATCACTCGGGTCGGGCATGCTTCGGCAGCCGGGTCGGCTCGCGCTCGGCTCCGTACTGGACAAACAACCTGCTGCCGGAGACTGAGACGCGCGGGTGGGCCGAGGTGGGGGGAGGAGCAAGGTGGATGGAGAAAGGACCCCCCCCCCCTCCTTCCCTCTAGTTCTAGCCTCCTCCTTCTCTCTCTCTCTCTCTCTCTCTCTCTCTCTCTCTCTCTCTCTCTCTCTCTCTCAGACACATACACACACACTCGGCGCGCTTCCTTCCTTTCCTGCTCGCCGGAAGACGGGGATTCTGAATGGTCGCTGCGAGGGTTGATGAGTTTGAGTCGGGGGACCACCGGGGACCACCCATCAGCAGGCTCTCGCCTTTCCCTTTCCCCGCTCAGCCGTGACAACCCGGAGATGAGTGACGACCGAAAACACACTTCAGGATCCCCATCACCGTGTGGTGCTCATCATAGGGAACGGTTCGCTTTACGTAACCTCATAGAATCCAAGACAAACACAAAACTGAGGTGCACGCAGCGCAGCACCATAAAGGTCGTACCGAGCGCTTTGCTACGTCAGCGTATCGTCGAAAACCCTTCGATACTTTAGCGTCACTTAACTTGCCTCGTCCACCCCGAGGCAGCATGCAACACAACACGCATTGGTATGTATCACCTCCGCGGGAAGAGCCGCACGGAAAGATGAGAAATTCCTCGCCCCCCACCTCTCATTAGCCCATTGCAAATTCATGCATGGCGGCGTATTGTTAGCGGGCTCCTCGGCGGGCTCAGCGGCGGCAGCAGCAGCAGCTAGCTGCGCTCCACAAAAAATAACCCTCTTTATGATGCTCCTTCTGTAAGATGATCTTCACTTTCACAGGTGAGCTTTGTCACCTTCGGGGCGGCGCGGAGCGTAGACGGGGGAGGGAGGGGGATGCAGGGCGAGGGGATGGTGGGGGGAGGAGCAGCGGCGGCGAGGTGCCTTACCTGGTCATCCCTACCCCTCCCCGCGCTCACCGCTCACCTCCTCCTGTAGCATCAGCAGCAGCGGCAGCAGCAGCGGCAGCAGCACCATCAGCTACAGCTCTGCATCCTACGTTTCTCTTCCATCCTTTCCCTAATGCTATTTATGAGGTCCCTGCAGAACTCTCGCAGGACGATTATTGGCGACGGCGCGGATGAGACCAAAATAAAAAGGGTTTAGTCCGTCCCGCTTACTATTATTGTTTGATTGTTAGTCTTTCATTGCAGCGGCAGCCCGAGAGGCCCGGCAGGCAGGTGACGACGGAGCCGCGCGGCTCGGTGAGGGGTGCGGTGGGGAGTGGTTGGGCGGGGTGGGGCAGGGTGGGGCGGGGTGGGGTGTGGCCGGGCGCGGTGGGTCGCCGATCAGATTACAGCGCGCCGCGCCGCGTAGTCACATCGCGACGCATCGTGCGGAAAATAGCCTGATACTCCTTCCTTATCACCCGAGCCGGGCCGGCACCAGGCGGCACCACCAAATTTTGTAACCTAATTATCGGATGTATCATTTTTTAAACGCGCCTCAAAAAATGTAGCTGTTGGATGCTATTTTGAGATGGACATGTCGCGACGGCAGATGCTGTCGAAACTCGCGCAATGATCCTCATCCATGCCGATACAAAAGTCCAACATCATGTGATTAATACTCGAGAATTAACCTAACGTTCTGAATTTAAATACACGAAGCACACAATAAGCCCCATTTTTCAAACACAATTAAGCATCAAAGGCTACGAGAAATAATCAGATGCGCCGCCTTTTAACTCTCCTCTCAAACCCCTTTACCCTCTAAGTGTCCAACCTCCTTCCCAAATATTCTGAATTGGCTCATTTTTCACGGCACGCCACCGCTGCGATGTGTGTGCGCCCGGTGCGCGCCTCAGTGATAAAAACGAGAGAGAGAGAGAGAGAGAGAGAGAGAGAGAGAGAGATGGCACCGCGATTCTCATTCCCACCACCGTCGTCGTACGTAATCGGCGCGACTCATCTGGACCCCGCGCAGTCTGTCTCCTCTCTCTGTCTCTCTCGCTCTCGCTCTCCGAGAGAGCAGAGCAGTGTTACCGGAGGAGCCCGGAGGGACCCAGAGGCTGCGGCTCTGCTATCAGCGCGCTCCATCAGCGACCTCCACCAAACAAACAATTAGTAAAAATGTCTCCCCGCTGTAACGGACGCCACTGCTGCGGCTGCGGTCGTGCTGCGACACAACGACGCCGTCCTCTCGGTAAGGCAACGCCGCCGCCACCGCCGCCGTCGTCGGTGCCCTCTAGCAGCTCGTCGTCGGCGACGCTCACGACCGTCCAGCGCGCCCGTGTCAAAGCTACGTATCGTGCGACGGGGGTGGCCGACGTCACTGTGTCAGTCATCGAATAACATCTGCATCCCTCGTTCAGGACGGGAGCAGCCAACTGACACTGCCGAGCTGACACTGCTGAACCGTCGCTGCTGAGCTGACACTGCTGAGGTGGAGGCCAAATTATTCTCTGATCGGGGATCACTTTGTTGGCGCACATCACTCATCGGCAGGGACACACTCAGACGGGGCCGGGCGGCCGACGGCTGCCGTCCGTCCGTCACGCAGCCGCAGCAGCAGCCCGCGAGTGTCGAGATAAAAATCTACAGTCGATTACGGAGGAAAAACCGCGCAAGAAGTGCCGCGACAGCTTAAAGTATGGTATATCTCTGATTGAAATACAGCCGTCCCGAGTTCGTAAACGCGAGTAACAAACGGCCTTTATTTTAAATGCGCGATCGGTCAATCCGTTTGCGGGAGGAGGGGGAGGAGGCCGGTGGAAGGGCGGAGGGGGAGGTACCCGACAGTCCGCACAGTCGTATAAGTACCGTCAGCTCCCCTTTTGCGGCAATAAAATAGCCATTGGACGGGGCGTGTGGGCAGTCTAGGTCCGGCAGGGCACTGCCAGGGCACCTCGCGAGGGACGCGCCGGCCCGCCGCCCACCGCCGCTTTATGTGTCCCCTCACTCCAGCGGTACACGCTCACAATCCGCGATCTTATTTAGGTAATCCACAATAGAAAGAAACTATAACTTTTAAAAGGGCTGCAGACTGAACTAGGGGTGTTTTCGAGGCAGTTATGGCGAGTACCTTTTCGGCACTTTGTCACATTTTTGTCGTCGGTGATAGTCGGTCCTACTTTGACACGCCTGTTTGAAAATCCTTTGATATGTCACAGGTAAGCTGAACTGGGATCACTTCGACGGCGGCAAAAATAGAAGGAAACTCGATGAAAGATCGCCACGCTTGCCGCGCTTCCGCGGAGCGATCCCTTTGGGAGCAGCTCCTGCTCCCCCGTATGGCGCTCAGCCTTCAACGCCGAGCAGCGCGTGAGTGGCAGGGGAGTCTGTGACGAGATGATGTCGGTACTGCTGGGCCGATATGGTGACGAGAGCATTGCGTCAAATCAACATTCAAATCATTCTGTTGCCTCCGGCATTGAAACACCGACACACATACACATACAGCTCCCCCACGCCACGCCGCACCCCGCCGCATCCCCCCTCGAGCGCTATGTATATTCAGCGCGCGCATCCCTCCGTTTCTTTAGCCTCTCTCATTTTTTGTACGTCGGTCTGCGCCGATCGAGAATAAGAAAGCGCGCGCACTTGTAAACACGCACCTCCCTCCCTGTGCGTGTGTGTGTGTGTGAGCGAGCATGGACCCCTTGGTAGCGGAAGAGAGAGAGAGAGAGAGAGAGAGAGAGAGA